ATAGAAGATATGCTCGAAAAGGGGATTATCGTGCCGTCAATGTCACCATGGGCGCTCAGGCCACGCATTGTTACTGCGCCGGGTAAACCGATGCGTATATGCGGCAACTACGTCCCTCTTAATGCACACCTGGTTGGCAACAGTTACCCACTGCCCAACATACAGGATACGTTACAAAGGGCCGCTCAAGGACGATACTTCGCCAAAATTGATTTGACTAAATCCTTCTGGCAGATACCACTAGCACCTGAAAGTCGACCACTCACAGCCTTTTACGGTGTTAGAGGATTGTATGAATACACCAGAGTGCCATTTGGTTTGAAGGTCGCCCCTGCCATATTTCAGAGCACCACTGACCGAGTCATTAAGGAATTCTCAACGTGGGCAATTCCTTATGTAGATGACGTTGCCGTCATTGGAGCCACTTATGAGGAGTGCAAGGAGAGGATTACCAAACTCTGCGAGAAATTAGAAGCGAAAAAATTCACTATCAACTACGACAAATCAGTCGTGGAACCACAAACACAACTGGAATTTCTGGGGCATTTAATTTGCAGCGGACATGTGACAATACACCCGCACCACGCGGAAACTATTTGCAAATTGCCAATACCAGAGACGAGCGCTGAGCTCCATAGCTTCCTCGGTTTCGGAAATTGTTTCCGCCGATTTATACCACGATACGCAGAACTGGTGGCACCTCTTTATAAGGTGCTGAAAAGAGAACCATATCATCTCGCCGCTGCGGAAAAGGAGTCAGGGTACAAAAGGCTATCGCCACGTTACCATCATTACATACTCTCGATAGCCACTCACCATTAGTTCTCGATACGGATGCGTGCCAAAGAGGATTGGCGCATGTCTATATATTCAGCGGGAGAATGAGTTGTTACCTTTAGCGTATGCATCGCATGCTTTTACTAAACAGGAGAGCAGATGGCCCGTAAGGGAACTGGAAGCTTTTGCAGTTGTGTGGGCGCTCCGTCATTTTCGTGAACTGCTGCTTGGACGATCACTTACTATAAGAACCGACCATGAATCTCTCCAATGGATGAAGCACTGTGAGAAGGGCCGAATCGCCCGGTGGAATTCGACGTTGGACGAATTTGAGGCAAGAATAATTTACAGAAAAGGATCGGATAATCAGGTGGCTGATTATCTCAGCCGATCGGCTAACTCCGACGTTATCTCTGATGTAGTGGAGGAATTGTCACATCCGTATATTGCTCT